ATTACGAGCATATGAAGACAATGCTAGGAACACGACTGGTTCCTGGTGCAAGTACGGTGTACTATTTATGACACATACAAACATTTTTATGATTTCAAAAGTACTACAGTCGAAAATGCCTTTAATATTTAGCGAAGTACCATACATCATTCCTACATGTAGTGTCATTTTGGATTAAACAAATACTGGACCAGTGTACAAACTGTGCAGGTACATGTAGTCTGCTTGATTTAGTTTACCTAACAGGGTCAGTACCGCCGAGGGCACGAGTAGGGAACGAAGTTGAATCTCGCTCACAGACGACGCGTCGTGTGGGCCCGCACTCCTCCTTCACAGTCAATTGCACTGATGCCTCATATTAAGTCTGACCCCTCATTGGTCCAACATCGGATTTAAGAGGCGTTGGACCTTTGAGGTGTCAGAACCATGATGCTGAAAAAAACATTGCCCATAAATATGACGCCTCATTATTTCGACACCTCATACATGTAAGTCCGAAAATTCGGACTTTTGAGACGTCGGACCTATGAGGCATCGGATTTACGATACGCACCCAAATTATCATGCTGGACATCATTCTCTGAGCATTCCACTTCGGAATGGTTGAAACATTCAGTCTATGATTCAACATCTGTAAGTTTGCTGGTTTGGAATTGCTAGCTCAAGTACTTTCCTTCACCCCAAATTTGATAAGAATCCTAATACACTGTACATGCCATCTTGACAGGAACCAGTTCCACAATTTTCACTTACAAAAAATGTCTGAGCCAACAGAGCACTTGGCAGCAGTCTCCAGACATCGCTCGCTCGAAAATTGCACAGGAAATCCTGGAATTAATCAACCCTGGTAGGAACGCATTCTTAGGATTACTTCAAATTTAAAAGGTGATATTTCCTCATTTGATTCTCCGATGAGGCAATTCCTCATGTCAGAACGGAATCTAGAAAAATACAGGAAATGAGATAAACTTCACATTTTCCAAAACACTAAAAATGCAAACTTCATCTCAACTAATATATATTTGAAACCCATGGATTATATTCATTCACACTATATTTAAGCACTCACATCTAAAAGAATTTAAACATAATATTGTACTTTCTTTCCTACTTGTATTATAAGCTGGAACCATTCAGAAAAAATGTGGTATCACTATCACCATGAGGCAACAAACTTCGCGTGCACGATACTGATTACAAGCTGATAGCTTTGTTGATCAAATATTCTTATTCTTTGATTGCATTAAATGACAACTGAAGCAAGTACAAGGTTTCTGCAAAGTTTTTAAATGTCTGGGTTATGAATGTGGGGGGTCACTGATATGAACATGTGATCAGCCTGTTGTAAACACATCACACAGCAGCACAAACCATCATGAACATACAATACAGGTCTGAGCTGTCTTGGATAGCGAGACAGGTCAAGCAACATCAATCACAATGCATAGTGATACCCAATTGTGTCACATGTGAGAGGGTGTGTTCTACCATTGTAAACATAACAAATAATAAAAGCACCCTTTGGGAGTTTTTCCATGTTGACAAATTTTCTTTATTTCAGATCTTTAATACCTCCTGGTATGGGAGAATCAAATTCCAACAACTCTTTCCTAGAAACTGGAAATTTAAAATATCATTTACACATGAATTAGAGAGAAGCAAACAATTAGACAAAAATGAAGGAATATGAAGAGAAAAATCTCCAATAGGCACTAGTCTTGTTTTAAATCTGTCAATCCTTTCATTTGGTTCAGTAGGAGTTCCGAACATTCTCTTTTTTCCCATTCCACTGTGATTTTCAGAAATTCCACTGACCTGGGAATTATGACAATGGTCAGCTTTCAATCAAATCCCTAGAGGCTAAGCCAATCAACAATCCATTCAGGAAACCATATTCTTGGGGTCAAAAGGTCAACCAGGCACCAGACATTACCTCAGACAATCACAATTTGTGATGTCACCTTTTTTGGGAAACTAACTTCAGGGCATCCCATAAAAATCAGTGGGGGTAGATTTATGGCATAAGTATGAGAAACTTGCCAAGTTGTTTTGCAGTCAAAAGACCAAGACAATAAGTACATGCACAATCTCACAATATGATTTGACTCATGGTTTCTGTATTCATTTTTATCTGCATCACACTGAAAAAAGCAACAGAGAGTTCATAGTTCATCAGACAGGAATTGACAAGCTGAACTGAATCTTCTCTTCAGTAGTAAAGGACGGGAGACCTTTGTGAATTGGCATACATTGCCTGGGCTAATGCACCTGATCTTAGGGTACACATCTTCAACCAGTTCATGTGTGTTGTTTGCAGTCAGTTCACAACATTCCAATTAATAGCATGGGTTGGTAGGGGCAGTACCAATGCTACATGTACATGTATATGGGTGAGTAAATGCAAAAGTTCGTTGTCAGATTAACAGAGAGCTACACAAAGAAATCAAGTTGTTCTCTTGCGTACTTCTTGGTTGACATCACAATGCCAAGCTTTAATTTTCCAACCAGATACACACACTTCAGAGCTGAAGATATTCCAACTAAATGTTTGCCTTGCCATGCTATGTCTCTGTGGGAGATTTGTCTTAATCCATTCAGACAACAGGCTTTCTTTCAAGCCCAACCATAAGAAGCCCAGGATTCGAAAAAGACTTTCTAGTCCCAAGCTTTTTGAAAGTAGGATTAGACTTTAATCAATATGACAAGTGCCTGAGGAAGTGCTCTCAAAGTACAGTTTATTACAGCTGAATTGACTGGTAGAGTCACCTGGTCCATAAACATTGTGAAAGTTGATAATAAATTAATGCAAACTGCTAAGAATTAATAATGGAGCCAACCAGACAAAAAAGGTACTTCCAGACAGAGGCACTTACCAACTACCTGCTATTTGCCTGTTCACTGCAGACACCTGTGTACATTGTATAAGACAAGTGTGTACACCTGTAGGCTACTTAGATGAGAGACTTTTTTGCCACTCTCAAGGAATGAGCATTCCGACAAATACCGGTACATAACTTTAATAATGTGGCCAGTCAATCTTAAAGCTTAAGTTGTCCCATTTCAAAGATTCCAATCCTTTTCTTTTTATTTTATACAATGTCTAACAGTGCAAGCACCAGAAATGGATGAATAAATTGGTTAACTGCAATGAAAATTTTCACAGAACATGTAAAGGCTTTACCTAAGGTACAAATAAACATAAAGGTTGTACATACACATGTACTTCAACATACAACCTTTATGTTTAATTGGCCAACAAGTTTTCCCTTTTTTCACCAGTGACACTACTTTTACATGTATGAGACCCACAACTACAAGTGCCCTCATTACATGTCAAGGACAGAAGGCCCCAAGTGGCTACATGTACATGTAGAAGTAGGGGTGCATGCAAGCATGTCAAAGGAGAGGCAAGCTATGTACATGTACATCTCTATGCATGGGCGGGGGTAAGGGAAATTATCTTTGACATTTTGGTGACTTTCTGTGACATTTAAAGTCTTTTAACTCTGCACAGTAACTTCGGAAGAGCAAATATTTTTGACTTCCAAACCCAACCAGCTGTACATGTACATGCAGGTCAGAAAAATACCAGTGATGACTGTTTCAAGGAAACCCTAAGCCAATAAAACAATAATAAAAATTTTAACTACCATTACAACTTCAACATTTAAAAACTTTGGCACCTTATCAGCCAGTCACAGTAGTCTAAGTAAGCAGTAAATGTTTCACAATACAGCACCAACATCATACATGTAACTTTGTACATTCTGTACCAAAATAAACTGACGCATACATGTACAGGTCTACATGTACGTGTACATGTACTTTGATGTTTAAAAACATGTATGTCAGGTGTTATGTTTCTTTGCCATAATGGCAGCCTTTTAAGTGAAGATTTGCCCGGCACCAGTCTTCAAATAGGGACAGTAATCAATCAAGGATTAGGATCTACATAGCTGTAAAATAACTCCAAACTATCCGAATGAATGGTACTCAATGGAAGAATGGGTACAAGGGCAAAGGTCGAAAGGATTCTTTTGGGACTCTGCTGTAGTGTCAGCCTGAAATGGATTTGAATTGGACATGACCTCGAAAATGGATGCGCTATTGAACATCAGCAGGAAGCCGATTCCATGGTTTTTTACTGCCACCACTCAAAGTTGAAGGTCATTTTATTTGGCTTAACTTGTCTATTTCCAGTCACATGATGTATAGAATTGTGGGTCGGTGTAATACAAGATGACCCATGAAACAATACTCTTTGAAGTTTTTTTTTACAATCTCAGCAGCTGAGATAACTGAGGTTCATTGAACCCAGACTAAAGGATGACAAATTTTAAGAAATGAGGACTGTAACTTTGTTATGCAAGCAGTGTATTTCCCTAAATATAAAAAAACAGAGCGAAAAAAATGTTGCATCCTGACTCTACTTCAGCAGTTGTGTACAAAGTCTATTGGGAGTGAAGAGAATTTTCCAAGTATTTCCCAACAACATTGGTAAATGTTTCTCAGTCCAGAATTTGTGTCTTTCCAGCATTTCTGTAATGACTGACTTTTATTGAGATGATACATGATGAGACAAGTGGAGTCGGGATACAACATCTTTTCCAAACAGAGATTTCATGAAACATAACGATTTGAACAGCAATTTCAAACAAAGGTACCACTTCCCTGACTTTGTCACAATATTCAATTCTAAGGGTGTCCATAGTAAATTGTAAGTTTCTCATTTCCATGGTTTCCATTTTGGGCTCTGACTGAGGAAGGAAAAAACTTTTTTATGCTGCTGACCCTGCCTGGAATTTCCAACCAATAATACAAAATTGAGAAAATATGATTATTTCAAGAATTTCTATGGACAACACAAGTATTTTTCTCCCGACATATCCTCTCAGAGTCAGAAACAAAATGAAAACCACGTCCACAGAATTAATGCAAAGTCTTTCCACTCACAGATTGCATTCAAAATCAAATCTTATTCACAAAAATGGAATACTTACAGAATCTTTGTTTCATTATCAACTTGTGGAATCCTTGTGAGTTCCAGATGCATACATCTCACAGTGGTCCGGAAACACAAACAGCCGAGAGGGCAAGCGTGGCAGACAGCTGGTAAACACACGGTCAAAACTCCGAGGAGTAATAGTACGAACCTTGAATCCAGCGCCATGGCTCCCTGTCAGACACGGCGCAAGACTCACTGTCTGACCTGCTCAGTCCAAATAACTCACGTGGAAGAGGACTGCCTAGGCCTAGTTCCAGTCTGCAAGTGCCGCTTCAAATCCGGGCAATATAACCTTTTCAAATTTGTTTCTGACTGCTGCAACTCACAGGAAATAGACAAGTCCGGATGTCGCTGTGCCTACTTGTCTGAAATGCAGATATCCCGGGTATGTGGCTGCCAAAAGAGAAGTTTTCATGCAAGTACCAGGCGCCGGCGAGGAGTAGTTGACCATAGACGCGTCGTATCTACCCTTGGGGTACGTGTGGTGCGCACTCATACACCGCAGCTGATAGGGATACCATGCACACACATGAGCCGGTTACTTACTTTTATTCTGATTCTGACCTCAGTCGTACCCTCTAGGCCACTAATTTTTTTCAACCCTCCGGTGTACACGTATGTCGGGTACTTCAAGGACAGACCGTCTGTTTGTTATCCGCAAAACATTGAGCTATAAAAGGTGTTGGAACTGACAAGAGTTGATTGGGGCCTGGTTTTCTTTTCTTTTTTTATTAAATAAGATGGAGAGATGTAGGAAATTAGACAACTTTTCATAGCCGGTAAAAATGCATTGAATGGCATGCACACACAGGCACAAAATTTAATGTACAGTACATCTATCCATGATCTACCTACCTAGGCCTGAAGAATCTGACAACAGAAAATGGCTAAAACATGACATTAACAGCCATTGTGAGGCACTATATCATATATTGTCGATGGCTGTTTTTGTTTATGATATGCTCACAATTTTTTGTCTGTCTCTCGTATGTGTCCTTTTCTTTAATTTTTAAGCTGCTACCCCTTATTTGCATGGTTACCTGCCCCATTTGGGGAAACTAATAGGACTAGTTGTGAAAGGGGGCGCTATTTAATTTTTACAGCAAAACCTTACTATGCAAGATGGCGACTTCCAGAGACAGCACGAGTTCCAAGTTTGATCCAGCCTTTGATCAAGTTCATAGGCGAAAGAAAATGAAAAAGAAACCTAAACTAGAGACAGGAAAAACTGAAGAATCTGATGTGGAATTCAAAGGAAAGTGGACGGTTGCAGATGTGGATTACAGTGCCCTTAAGTTGGACGAACTCCGTGAATTTATGGGCATTGAAGAACTGTCAATGGAGCACGCGGTAGTTACTGGAAAACCGTCGTCAGCCCACTCAAAGCGTTCAAGGAATCGTGGTAAACGACGTCGAGTAAGTATCGGGGGACATGTAAATGAAAGACAGAATTGCAAACCTTGTTTATGGAGAGTTAAGAGGAGTTGGTCTTTATCATATCTACTTGTCTTTGTCTATGTTTTTATTATATTTACTTTTAGATACTCAAACTCCAAAACGCCCTACCTAAAAAATCATTATTTACAAAAAAAATTATTATTTTCACAAAAGACTATCAAACAGACCTTTGAGATCCCAAATAAAAAAGCAACAGTAAAGGGCGTAAAATGCGCATACATACAAGTATGTGTACGAGGTACCTCCACAATACATGTACCTACCTAGGCCTAGGCTTAAACGATTAAATTTTATGATAGGCCTACATACATAATATGTACTGCTCAAATGTTTTGGACTCAAATCTTAAACTTTTACTCTCATGGCCTAAATAAGACGCACAAAAAAAACTTTTGAAATGGTCATTCAGGTAGCGAGGAAGAAATGTAATCTGATGTGATGTAGGCTATGTTAACATTGTCACTGATATGTAATCAAGTAAGTTTTAGTCACCATGGTAACTGCATACCCGGTACTTACATGTATCAGCATTTTAAATATTCAAAATGGAGGGTAGAAGCATTATTCATTGCCTAACTTTGTAATAAATAACACACAGGGACTAGACCTTAGGTGTTAAGGTAAAATCAGAGGCTATTCTTTATTTTAATGTAATTCCAATGAATGCAAAGATTTACTTAAGACTATGTGACAAGAAGAATGAAATACCCCCTAACGTGACGTCATGAATATGCATAATGTCTGTTGTAAATTTTGAATATAAATATTGTAATATTTTTGAATTTTGCAGAAACAGCAACAAAAACAAAATTCCACTGAAAACCAACAAGTATCTCCACCCAAGAAGCAGAAAATGAGAAATCAGAGGAAAAATGCTTCTCAAGATCATACAATGTCAGGAAAGATGCAGCAAGAGTTGACAAAAAGTGATATCGGTAAACGTGCAGAAGAAGTTGTAGAGGTTACCATGAATACCAAGAGGAAGAGCATAGACAAAGTAAAGACAGAGAACCAAAACCCCATGCAGAGTAAGAAGGAAATGAGTTTCACCAAAGGGATCTCTGTTCCTAAAAAAGACAGTAGTAAGTTTATTTTTTTGTTGTCTTAAATATCTTGATATTTCACAGTGTGACTAAGATGCACAAGATTCATAAGTACCTCCAGTGACAAGCTCCGAGTGAATGCTTTAGCCATAATATCACCATGCTCTACAGAATTGTCCATGGACTTTGAGATGCTGAGCAGACATACTGCTTCTTTTTCACTGTATCAGGCATGCTCAGAAAAAGTGTGCTCAGAACTGTTTGCCGCCACCAAGCATCCCTAAGTCTCCCATAGACCCATACTGCAAAGTCAAATCATATCAAAAGACCTTCCCGAGTGTCATATACTTGTGGAATATACTAAATAGACAGAACAAAAAAAAATGCTTGCCTTAACTGGAGTCTTGTCTTACCCGAGCTTGTATTACCGAGAGTCAAATGTACATGTACTACACTCAGCTGTGTCTACCAGTTACTGGAGGTCTTTTGGAACTGCCTGAGCCTGCAATTCCTGTGTTTATTTGTTATTCTACAACTTTTGTTGAATTCTGGTCTTGCTTCACAGCCTTTGCACTGTGTTCAATATGATAATCCATAGGAGCTATTTACATGTAGCTCCTAAGAGGGATGTACATGTACTTGGTTGATGTCTGCACTAGTAAGCAGGAAGTCATGGGTTCGAGTCCCACCCAAGTACACTTGTGGGTTTCTTTACAACCTTTGACTGAGCATGCAGTGTTACAATACAGGTCTGGCAGAGCAAAACTCCAAAATTAAATTACCATCTTCCTGATGCAAATTAATCCTTAGAAATAGGGATGTACTTGGTGGAAGAAGAAGAAAGATGCAACATTTTAGTGATTATTGTAGTGGCAGAACTTTATTCATATTAAACATTCTTAGGTGAAAAATTGTATTATGATTAATAAGATTTTTTTTTTTTTCAATCTTTTTATAGATGTTAATATGCCAGCTTGGAAGACTCTCCATGTTCCTCTGCCAGTTCTTAAGGCACTTCAGGACCTTGGCTACAAGGAACCAACACCTATCCAGAAAGCATCTATTCCTTCAGCCATTAAAGATAGCAAGGACATCGTTGGTGCTGCAGAAACAGTATGTCAATTTTCAGACTTTATGCATTGCAATTCCTCTAGGTTTCTGATGATTGTTAAAATACTAGAAACCACATACTGTGGTGTTTCAGTGTTTGGTGTTTGGCCCGGCAGAAGAGCGTTCAAGCCTTCTTCTTCCAGAGCAATCATTGCTACAGCTGGCAACAGGCAACAGACAATTTGTTGTGTGGATATATTGGAGACATCATTGATTGAAAACTGAGAGTTGGCATGGGCGTAGATCTCAGGGGGATGAAGGGTGTATATCCCCCACTTTTCGAGGGGGGAATTGGCTGTTGAATCATCCACTCACTTTTTGTGATGAGCAAGGAAATTAAAGCGGTTTGCGAAGAATTTTCAGGATTTCCCAAGGACTAAAATGTTTGCAATATTACTAAAAAGGGAAAGCAATATTTAAAAACCATAAATACACCAATCTGATGTAAGATGGATGAATTTGATACACATTATAGATGCACATCTTTATCATGAACTCTGCCTCTACATAATGTATATTCCCCCCCCTCCCGTTTTTCAAATTTTAAAGGGCCAGGCGAGAAGGCACCCCCCTACCTTTCCCCATCCCCCATTAGGCCACTGAACCGGAGTGGGGAAGTTACACTTTAAAATTCAGTTTGAAAGTCTTGTTAACTTGTCTGTCTGATGCTATTTCCTGTGATCTTGCATGGATTGAGTCATCTACGTGTATGGCTAAACCATGTGCAAGATATTGCTCTTACATGCATAGTTTAATAAACTGTTTCTTGTTTACAGGGAAGTGGAAAGACACTTGCATTTGGTATTCCAGTGATCCATAACATTCTACAACACAAAGCAGCACTACGGCGGGAAGCCAGATCAAAGATCTTCAAGGTGGCAAATACTGAATCCACAGATACCACAAAGCAGCAAGAAACATCTACCAAAAGGACTGTCAAAGAGACAGCAAGTGACCCAAAGAAGGAACAAAAAGCCATTAAGTCTCCTCACAGTAAAAGATCTGATGGCAAGCCATTAGAACTGGAAAGAACAGTGGTGAAAAGCAAAACAAAACAAAAGATGACGGGTCAGGAAGAAAAGACAGAAATTCAAGAACAGGACAGTGAAGATACAAATGTGGAAGATAATGACGAGTTTGAAATGGAAGAGACGGAAGATGACGATGAAGATGAAGATATTGAATATGATTTTGATGACGACGATGAGATTGATGAGGATGAAGCAGAAAGTATTGATTTTGATGAGGATGATGCTGATGACAGTGAAGGCAATATTGATGACATTGAAGACTGGGAACAAGAGGATGGAGGAGATTTCGCTGAGGCACAGAATGATGAAGACTGTATGGATGATGAGGGTGATAATGATGATGACAAAGACCTGAAGGGAAAAGTGGCCATCAAAAAGAAAGAAAAGATACCTGTGGAAAATGACAAACCCTCTGACAGATCTAAAAAGCCTAAGGGCAAAAAGGGGCAAAGAAAACGGAAATTCCGCACTCGGGAACGCAAAGTGGTAGAGCTTGATGGTGCAGAGTTTGAAGGAATTGAGCTCATCAATAAGATGGACAAACGAGGCTTTGGTTGTGTTAGAGCCATTGACGACATCTCAGATGCAGAACTGTTATCTCAAGTTGGTCTGGGCGAGGTAGTTGAACAAATAGATGATGCAGGGGATAGGTCCAGTGATGACCAAGAGCTTTATGCCATGATATTGACACCAACAAGAGAACTTGCCATTCAGGTCAAGAATCATTTGGTTGCTGCATCAAAATACACTGATATCCAGGTAATGATAACATTCAGAGGGTTTATTAAAGCACTTGGCCCCAAAGTAAAAGAAACTCTACAGATACGGTTAAAAACTGCTAATTGTTGGATAACTTGGAGGAAAAGTTTTTCATAAGTAGTAACAGATACTTGGCTAATTACTACTTGACCAGTTCAGATGTAAACATACCATGGCCAAACTAGAAATAAATACTCTGGCAGCTTGCATGGCTACCTGCTTATCTTTGGAGTTGCTAATGATGCCTTTGTCCCTAGATTGCAGTGATTGTTGGTGGAATGTCAGCACAAAAACAAGAACGAGTACTAAGGAAACGACCAGAGATAGTGGTAGGCACCCCAGGAAGAATATGGGAACTTTTCAGAGAGGTAAACAAGTTCATTTCTTTTTCAAGATGTACTTCTGTTGGGGAGATGTTAAACTAGATAACGAGTTTTTGCTCTTGCATCAATGATTATCAATTAACACTGTAGGCTCAGTGCTTTTTCCCTGAGAGCTTGGAAAAACTTTACAAGCTAACTCATTTATACAGCTTACTTAGTACTTAGTGTTAAGTAATAAACATCGGTGTAAGGACTACAATTTGGTATTAAATTGAAGCTTTTTCCTTTTGTTTTCAAAAGGAAATTCCAAAAGTAAATTTTATCTCCTGAGATGGAACTCCAGCGATACCTTTGAGTCCTGGAATTCAGGACAGGAATTGTTCCTTAAGCAGGACCGAGGGGTAGAACCTCCTAAAGCCCAGAAAATCATTTTCTTCAGTATGCTTTGTGTAACCAGTGACATTTCAAATCCAACAGGGGGAGCCACACTTATCAACAATGTCAGGAGTTCGCTGCCTTGTTCTTGACGAAGCAGACAGAATGATAGAGAAAGGACATTACGAACAACTGATTGAAATATTACACCACATGAATAAGTGAGTATAGCTCCATCACTTCAAAAATTAAAAGTAAAAGTCTTCAGATTTGAAAGTAGCAGTGATAGAGTTGATTTGGTATGCATTCAATCTCTGTGACTTACTTGTCTTCCGTGGAGATTTTGAAGTTTATGTGAATATTCGACAGAACACGAGTGTCTGTGAAATAGGAGGATTTGAGGTTGATTAGGAGAAATCACTTGTAATACTGTGATGCATCACAGCTTTATTTCATTTTTTCCTTATCCTGTGTAGCTCTCCTGCTAGTCTTCAACGACAGACATTTGTGTTCTCTGCAACTTTGACCCTGGTGCATCTTGGACCTGACCGGAAGAATTTGGCCAACAAAACCAATAAGAACAACCCCAAGCAGGAGAAAAAAGACAGAAAAGAGAAACTCAGTAAGCTGGAAATGATGTGATTGTTTCTGAATGTTTAAAATTCACTTCAACATTTTTGCTTGAGACAGTTGTAGGACCAGAAATTGGTCCATGAATAAAGCGCTAGGACTTGGGTCAGGAACAACAAAGTCCCAAGCTTTGAAATAGTGCCATTCTTCACATATTTTTATTCAAAGAAAACCATAAAATCCATGATCTCAAAAAATGAGTAAAATCATAAAAGTTATGTTTTATATTGGCTGAACAGTTGTTACGCAGTTGGATGCTTCCTTCTTTTTTGGCCCAGATGCCCTTATGAAGAAGGTTGGAATCCGAGATGATCCAAAAGTTGTTGATCTAACACAGAAACAGGGAACAGTAGCCAGTCTAATGGAAGCCAAGATCATTTGCGATGTTACAGACAAGGTAATGTGCCATGAGGTCACAAGAGAAGGGCTGCTTAACTTGATAGACTTTAATACTCTCCTGTTATCTGTAGAAGGTTTGCACAGCAGTACAGAATGTTGCATTGTTTGCAGCAATACTCTTGCCGTGTGGTTGTTCATTTTCTGCCTGCACATGATGGTATGCAACTGACACACCAGAAAACAGGTTCAGGTTTTGCATATTTTCTGTTGCATTTGTGAACATAACCATCACATAACTCACATAATGCACTGCTAGAAGGTTTTCCAAACCAAATGTTGATGGTTGACATTTAGAATGCACAACATTTGCTCCAGAAGTTAGTGATATTACAATGGTAATTTCTCATTACAAAACCAGAGTAGGGATTTCAAGTCAGTCTCCTTACGATGGACAGAGCATACTGCCTGACACATTGAGTTCCTCACGGTTCTTTTCAGAACCATAAAGACTCACAAAAAGATTGTATCCTTGCATGGTGCTACTGCAAGCTTTCCGACCTTAAAATCAGAGTTCTCGGGTTATTTTAATCCAAACTCCTCTTCGTTTTTGCAGGACGTTTACTTGTATTACTTCCTGCTTCAGTTTCCTGGACGGACCCTGGTTTTCTGTAACAGCATTGACTGTATCCGTCGTTTGTGTTCTATCCTGACACTCCTAGCCTGCAATCCACTACCTCTACATTCATCAATGCATCAGAAACAACGATTGAAAAATCTAGACCGGTATGCAGGTTATGTGCCTCAACGATGCTTGGCATCTGAATCTCAGCTAGTTTGAGTTGTTTTGTTCTGTTTTTTCTCTACTCTGACTTTGTTAAATTTGCATCATCTTCATCGTGTGATTTGTTGATACATTGTCAAGTTTCACGTGTCGTTATTTCAGCATTCAGTTTTTCTAGCTTCCTCAAACAACCTTTTCCCTTTTAATTAGGCAAGTGTCCTGTATCAATTCATTTCTTGACTTCTTGGTGCCTTTTCTGTCTTTGTTTGCCGCTACCCTCAGGTTTGCCTCCAATTCTACGGCTCTGCTCTTGGCCACGGATGTAGCAGCGAGAGGCTTAGATATCCCTGATGTACAGCATGTTATTCATTACCAAGTGCCAAGGACTTCAGAGGTAATCAGATCTTGTCTTTATCTTCACAGTTCAATACACACTTTGAAAATGAATTCTACACAAACACTGCTGTTAATTGAGAAAACTGCAGGATTTGTTTGCGCTTTCAAATATTGCACCTGTCAGATCTATATCCATCGCAGTGGACGTACTGCTAGACAAGCCAAGGAAGGCATTAGCATCATGTTGGTAGCTCCATCTGAAGCACACTTCTACAAGAGAGTCTGTAAGACATTGAAAAGAGGCAAGTTTAACTTTCTGCCAACTTTTAACCAGGGGTGAGATTTCTCAGCCTTTTAGCTGATTTCAGCTTTAGTTTTTATTTTGGATTCCAACTTTTTTCCTCACCGGCTATGTACAAAAGTATAGGAGATTTTCACAGTTCAGCTTCTTTATGCCCTTTTTCAGCTCTTTTCAGCTATTTTTATCATTGGTCAATCTCACCACTGTTATACAAATCAGAATCTCCAGTATTCTGGTTGCCTTGGTGAATACCCTAGTCCTGTAAGTTTATCTCACACTCACCAATTACTGTTCAAGTTTTGGAGATTTTCTATAACTGTTGTAATGTCACTCATGCCAACAAAAGCCATCTCCTGTGTTCCAAATCAGCTCCTCTGCTCCATCCAAACTAGTGACATTTGTGCATTTATTCTTTGTTTCACTATTACTTTTTCACTGTATTCTGCCAACAGATGACATTCCCAGTTTTCCAGTAGATCACATGTACTACAGTGCTGTCAAGGAGAGAGTTGACTTGGCCCGACTCATTGATCTAACCAATCACCGCATGGAAAAGAAGAAGCATACGAATAATTGGTTCATCAAGGCAGCTAAAGATCTAGATGTGGATCTGGATGAAGATTTAATGTATCCTGGATTTAAAATGACCAATTAAAAAATTGCTGCTCAAGGGTTGTGACCGTCCCAGTTTATTCCTCATAAAGTTTTTTCAGCCCTTTCTTTGCAACAAATGAGACAAGATTTACTTCTTGTTCTTTTGCTTGTTGCTGTTGCTTTAAAGCTGCAGGAATATGATAGCTGCTGAATTAAACACAATAAATTCATGTCAAATAATTCTTTAACATTTTCTCAGCTTGCATGATCTAGGTGATGCGAGAGAGCAAGGACAGCATGAGAGGAAACTTCAGCATATGAAAGGTAAATCTCCTTGCTCAAAATAATTCTGGCCAGGCAGAATTGAGAAAGTGTGTTGGTTTTTATTGGAAAGGTTTATTAATGAGCGTTGATGAAGACAGTCTCTTATCAAAGCCAAAGCAGGCTTCCAGTGTTACATCTTTGGTCAGCATTTCCCAGGTATTTCCAATGGGCAAAAACCCAGGCTTGTGTGTAGCTCTAGAAGACACATTTAGATTCACTGCAACATCAACTCAACAACTTTCATGTTATGGCACAGTAGCAGACATACTTTGCATTCAACTCCCGATGATATGCTCATTAGAAGATACTATGACTTGTAGTTTGTTTCAGTACCAACTTATGAAACCTGTAGTAATGTACAAGTTATGCCACGTTTGATTTAGTCCTGCTGTTAAACTATCTGTTGGCAGGTGAATTGAAGTCACTTCTGAAACGTACCATCTTCCCTCGTGGATCATCTTGGCTGTATCCAACAGCTGCTGGAAAGCTAGTCAGCCCACTTACACTAGGTCAGTTCAGATGAACACAACTTTGAAGGATAATTAACTAATGACCTAGTGGTAAAATGATTCAAAAATTCCATTACAAAAAGTTGATAGCATGCAGTGGTATAGTCTGGTATTCCTGAACTCAACATAGCACTATTATCCTTGTTCATCAGGCCAATTTAAATTGTGAATAAATGGTTAACATAATTCTTTAACTGAAAGTAGAGCTTTGTTATGCAGATAAATGCGGCACTTGATTAAAATAATGGAACAGTAGACAGTAAAAGAACATGTACATTCAAATTCACCTGATAACATGTTTCAATAAAATTCATGACTGAATATGTGTGTAAGCAGTCCAAGGTTTAGTACTCTTTACACTGCTAGATTGTGTGCTACAAATGTGTTTCCAAGAATGGATTTGTTCCTTGTTTTCTGAGCAGGTACCAGCAGTGCTTTGGGTGTGGTAAAGAGCAAAGTAGATAAAAGGAAACTTGAGGCCAGTCAGCAAGCTGAGGCAGAACCTCCCAAGAAAGTCAAGAAATCCAAGAACAAGTTTAAGAGAGCAGCAGATGAAACGGCAATCTAATCCTAACCTCCCAAGAAAGTCAAGAAATCCAAGAACAAGTTTAAGAGAGCAGCAGATGAAACAGCAATCTAATCCTAAGTGTCCGTTCTTAAAATAAACGTATTGCAGCGTCATGTTTTGACATTTATTTTCAAGCATGAAAGAATTATCAGAGACTTTTGCTTGTACACTCTGTTTCCGTTGACATGGATTGTTTTATTTCATTGTATGAATTTTGAAATGAGAAAGAAATTTGATGTCTCTTTCAAATTACTTTAATAACACACACTTCATTTAAATCGTAAGATAAGATTTAAAATGAAAAAGCAGTTCAATATTAAATGCAATTAAGCAACTGAAGAATTTGAAGGAAAATTTGGAGGCATAGTCACTAGATTCCCTAATTTACACACAGTAAAATCTAATGCTTTATTTCAGTCATTTTAGTTTTTCCATTACATTCTCTAGAAAAGCAAGATCAAAATACATTTCCAGAAAGGTACAAATGTGAAATCAAATTCCATATTTTGTATTTTAATTCAACTTTCTTCATTTTGATTTCAATTATTTGTGGCAAACATTTTAACTCATCTCTTTCAATAACTTCAGGTCACCAAGTAATTTATGACACACTGGGCTTGCAGCCATATTATACTGGAGGAACTAGAATACATCATTAAATATGGTCAAGCTATTTTATCATTAGAAATGTTCACTAAATCATAGAATTAGCAGTACATGTATAGAAAAGCCATCAAAAAAAAGGGTGGCGAAAGTGTGCCCTTACTGGGATCATATTTTGGGGAAGGAAAATCTGAACTAATTTGAGGTATTTCCAAATGTCCAACTACAGCATTGATCATCAGTTCTGGGTCCTAGAGCAGAACCAATGTTTATAGTACTGTATCAAAGAAAAGACAAAACTGACAAAACTTACAAGGAAAGGTGATGATGATGGATACCAGTCAGTTAAAGTCAATTTGACTCAAACATGGTAGCAGATTCTTTTCTAATAATCATAAAGAAACTTCCATCACAACACTTCTGATTCATGATTATCTCCATTCTGAGTATTTGTCAAACATTTTAACAGCTGTTTTAGTACAGACTGCAGAAAATAAATTTACTAAAACAGTCGGAAATTTCAATTTGGGTTGCAAATTTGCACTGAATGGTTCGTCTGCATTCAAGTTGTATGCCTTAGCCATCTGCCTTACAGGCTACCATTGAGGAAGTTAGACACCAATGTTTTATTTACCAATACCTTAAGGTAACCTTAAAACCATACCAACACAGAATGTGTGCTGAGTCTGCATGGATAACTCGTCACATTCTACTTGAGGACAACATAAGATGCATCAGTAGCCACACCACAGTTATTGCCTTGTTGGTTCATGAGAATATAGCCATTATTGCCCCAGTAGGTAGACCAGGAGTTTTTAACAATCCAGTAGTTTGTGGTCTGGTTCCCCATCTTCTGGGACCCGTAGCCCACAACCAACACTGCATGATCAAGATCTGCAGGTTTGTTGCCTGTATAAGAAAAATCAAAATGTAAACTTTTATAAATATCACACTAAATCTTGACATGCATTATTTAACAGCACATAGAGAGATTGATAAACGCATACTAAAAAACTTTAACTAAAACTCAAGAGTACATTTCTGATGAAATGCTGGGGCATACGAACATTATACATCTTACCGCAGTTCTTGTCATAGTAGATCCCAGAGGCATAGAAGCCAAACGTCTTAAGATGAGCATCAATACCAACGGTGATGGGACCAACACTAGCCACAGCTGTCTTCAAAGCTTTCATGTCTCCTGATGTCACATTCACATAGCTTTTAAGCTGAACTGCTGCTTTCTTGGGATCATAGTGACACATTCCATTCTAAGAACAAAAACAAAAAGTTCACAATACTCTAGGTAATGACTACACAGGCAATGACGCAAGCACATTGTGACTTTTACTAAAGAAGGCATATACAGCAAACAGCATGAATGAACCAAATGAAACACAACAGAGTTGAACTTCTTTTTGGAGACAAGAACAGAAGTCCATGTAGTCTACCTGTCCCATATAAGACCCATAGTCGTCTTCAGTCATCAATCCATGGTTCTGTTTAATCCATGAAAATGCTCTCCATTCCTCGCCACCATCACACGCATTATCACCAAAGCCCCAGGAGCAGTCCATCAAATTCTGCTGCGAGAAACGCACCATTTTCTTGTTCTGTTGAGGAAAAATGGAAATATTGGCCATGACACTGGTTAGTACAATGAAGATATTTAATTTAAATGATGACAGATTCTTTTTATCTAGATTTATCTAACTGCAAAATACACACATCAGTTGATTTCCATGTGACAAAAGACGGCCTTTACATAAGTCGTCCACTTGCTCATACCTTCAAGAAGTAGGCTCCTTCAATCGTCCCTGTAGCTCCAAAACTCCAACATGAACCACAAATAGCCTGGTCCTTGACTTGAGACACAGCCCCTGCACGGAGATTGAAAACAAGTCAATGACAAAAGGCTTGATTCAATAAAGGATGGTCATTCCCTGTTTGACTAGTTTAAGCTGATAGCCTGGTTGTAGTGCTGTGATACAATCACAAGCACAATAATGAAAACACAATGAAGACAAAGGCTAGAGCGACAACATACAGCTTGGTTCTAATTAAAGGTTCTAGCAGTGTAGATTCTAACAAATATGGAACAATACAAATTGTCATACCTCTGTCTTGGATACTGTCCATTTATTGGCCCAGATCGATCACATGAGAGGTCAATATATCTGCACATCACACTCACCATGAAATATCTCTTTCGTGCACATGCGCACGAGACAGAAGAGCTTCAGAAAGTTGGAGAGGGAACATTTCAGATCCTTTAGTCAGTTTTGCATGGTACCCGTAATACATTTTGTGCATAGGCTACCAGGGAATATGATCACACTCATAAAACAGACTCGTTCCCGTCCCTGCAGCGTATAAGGTAATGTGGGGACCACTAACCAGACTACATGTACTAACTGGTACCTGCACTAGTTTCATGTTAAAGTTTATGCAATAAAAGAAGTGAGGGAACAGTGCATTTGCAGATGATACCATTTACGTCTGTTTAATAGGTTAATTGTACTGTTTGACAGTAGGCTTTTGTCTTCTGAAATTCAGAGCTTGTTTCTTTGGATAAATTCCTTAAGACAGAGGTATGATAAAACAACTTTCGACCACTGCGGTGTGGGACATGACGTTTGGGTACGTATATTGCCCATGGCTTCGTCTCGGGGCACAATGCATCCCTCGTGTGTTCAAAACGTCATATGCCACACCACAGCGGTCAACAATTGTTAAATCTCAATCTAAATCGTGGCATCGGTAAATTTTCATAACAGTGGAAGTTATTGCTTGACTTCGAATAACCCCGAAGTAAAGCCCTCATCAAACACCTTTTTAGCAAACATTTGCAGTTTGGAGGTGCATACCCATAAGACGCCAATCAACAAAGTCTGGAGGAGTTGGAGCACTCTTGAACTCGTCATAAGGGAATGGTGCCCCGCCATTGTAACCAGTGGAAGTACGACGACCACGCATCACACGGAGCTCATCCTCAGACCAATCAGCAAGATGATTAACTCCAAGTTTGTAGCTCAAACCTTGACGATTAACACCATGAATAAATCTGCAATTCAAAAGCAAACTGATGCTCTGAGGAAGTTCCCAATGAAAACTCTTATTCTCCTCAAAATAGTTTTCTTTGGAGTTCCATCAGCTCAGCTATTAAACTCTGTGTATTAACATACAAATACAAACTCCAAACAGTCCTGATTCTCCGATTTAAAGTTGTTCAACTATCCTTGGGGTATCCTTTAAGGCTGTTCTATGGGGGTTGGATGAAACTGATTTTGGAAGTTGGTTAACACTGTGGAGTGCCCTACCTAAGAAATACTGATATCTTTCAAAATTTTTTAGTAGGCTCTGCAGCACTGGAAAGATCCTTCTGATAATGTTAAAATGTCTTTGCTTCAACAAAGACATCTGGTAAAAATGAGGTAGCTGAAATAATATTAAAGAATTCTTGAATGTAGTGGTTTACTTACCGGACATTGTGCGTAAACTGAGTCCTTCTCTTAGCATGCTCCAGTGCATCGGTGTATTGTTTGCCATGAATGGCCTTGTGTTCAGTAAACATCTCATGGTAACGATCTCCAAGCTCTGGATTTATCAATTCACGGTAGGGATTAGCAACAATATGTTGCTCTATACCAGGACCAGGAAAACTTCCACATTTGATACCTGTGTGATGTAAACAGCAGAACAGTTTATTTGGGTCAGCTCCTGAGTTGCAGAGTCGTATGATGGAGACTCAGGAGGATATGTAAGTCAAAGATTTTCTGTGGCAGGAATGGAACTCAGGAATGTTGTACGTGTTCCCTGTTCTAGTTTTTGAATACCAATACCGAGCTGACCCAATCACTGAAAACAACAATTTTAGAAATTCACAGTTACTCTTTGTGAATTGAAAAGAGCTAAATTACCGGTACCTGATAAAAGAATAATTAAATGTGAAATGTTAACCCCCCCCCAAAAAAAAGGTTACCAACCATCAGTCACCTTAATTCAGTTTATAGACTATTTCTGTGGTGATCTTCCAGAAATGTAACCCACTAAACACTTACCTTTTGGAGTGCTGAATGTGGAAGGATCTATGGCTGTCATGTTGTCAAAGAAATCAAAATCAATGACATACTTGTCAAAATGAGAGCCGAGGAGAGAGTCATAACCAAACATCTCATAGCGGACTGGGACAACAGGCATCATAGTGGAAACGTAGAAAGAATATCTGTTGACCTTAGCTCTTTTTACTCCTTCAAAGACAGTTTTTTTCCACACATCAGTAGACTCCCCATTAATCATTTCCTGCCCGGCATACTGTAAGAACACACCAAAAAAAACAGTGATATGAACTGACTAACTGAATAATTTTCAATTTCAAAATAATTTAAACAGCATGGTACTATTTAATTAAAGTTGATGGATAAAACTCCATCCAGACTTTTACGTTCACCATAGTTAATTCAATGGTTTTCATTTCCCACTGACCCCCATTTTGGCTTTGATTGAAGACAAAATAATTTATGATGCTGCAGCCACTGTCTGGGATTTCCTACCATGAAAAAACAGAACAAATGATCATAGGCCTACTACGAATTTCTGCAGACAACTAAATTTTTTTTTCCTCTTTCCCTGAGAAACTGGCCCTTCATCAAGGTGAGAAAAATATAAGAACCATGGAATCAACAATGGACGCCCTTACAAGGTGTCATTGCCGGGACATACCGTGAAGTTTTTTAGATTAGGGAGCATGTTTTGTGGCATCACCGTAGCGCTTTTGGTGCCGTTGATTTGGAAGCAGGATACCGGCTGGACATCAGTGCCCTTCCCTTTCACTGATGGTGAAATCTTGTACGTGAATCCATGAGGCTTCTGGTCTCCACGATAGAAGACCTTGTCCAAACCTTGGGAAAAAATCTTCTGCTTGAGATAGACTACTGAACTAATTTAAGCCTAACTTCAACAGATGAGTGTTATAAAGGCATATAATCAGCATTGCCTTCTTTATCAATGCTGTTTAAGTGCGCACAGATTAAATTGATATCAAGGAACAATTTCAATTTCACACTGAAGATGACTCTGTGTAAAGACAATTTCAAGTACGAATGATAACAAATGCAATCTCAAACTAGTACCATTGTAATAATCAATTCTTCCCATTGCCTTGGGACCATCAAAATAGATTTCAAATGGTTCATCCAGCTCAGCATACGGTAGCTTAACATGGCCCCTTGCATGGTACCTGCCCCCAAAAACAGGGACCTTGGGAGGAGGTGTAGTGGTGTGTGCATGAGTGGTTGGTACTACAGTGGCAGGTTGTTGTGTTGGAGCAGTTGGAGGAGGTGTGGTGGTGTGTGCACGAGTAGTTGGTACTACTGTGGCAGGTTCTTGTGTTGGAGCAGTCGGAGCAGTTGTTTTTGGAGCACCAAAGCATGTGCCTAAAACAGTGAAAACAGGTACAAATATATCAGAACAACGGGACATTCAAGTGCCATATCAATTTCTGCGTGTGTATGGGTCAACCTGGAGGTTGAGTAAAGGCAGTTCCAACGTATGGTACTTGAAAAATTATCAAAAAGTTACAAAATGTCTTTAATGGACGTCATAACAAGAAATTGTTGTTTTTCTCTTTATATATTGACCAAAACATCAGTAAAATACTCTCATTGGCATAGCACGTCAGGCCAGAGGTCATAACAAACCGGCCTGGTATACTTGATTTCAGCACGTGATTAAGGTCTACCCGGGTTTTAAGTAAAAGTAGCTAAAACTTAATTGAAAAATTATCCAAAAATTACAAAGTATCTTTAATAAATGCCACAACAAGAAATTTGTGGTTTTATCTTTATTTATTGACCAAAACATCAGTAAAATGTTCTCATTGAAATAGCACCAATGATTAGCCACGTGGGGCTTCGGCAGTCAATAGAACATGGGCAGAAGATTGTCGGCAGGTTCAATACAACCTTTGATGTTGTGCCACCAAACGGATGTACGCACTGTACAGCTTTGAAGCAGAACATATGCTCTTTCTTCGGGTACATTGAACTTTCATTAATTTGACAATTCAATAATTTGGATTTACATTTCCTCTGTTGTCATGCAGAGATTCGCTTTTGAACAAGCTGCGTTGTATGTGCACAGTACGTACACACACGTCTTGAACACTTGCGGTAAAATCATCTTGACAAGTGTTTGGGTCGTAAAATGGCAAGCCCGATGGGAAAGTGATCCTTCATACCAGAAGGGTAAGTGAGAAGACATTTAAGTGCTTTACTAATTGTTAAATGCCATCTCAGGCTACCACCGTCTTAGGTATTACAAATGCCCTGGCAATTGCCAACTGAGTTTAAAAAGTACAAACGTAGGCCTAACGAAAATTTTGTTCTTTCTGAAATTCCATCCACCATGTCCACAATCCAGTGAAAGCTTCAAAACACATCAATGCCATATTGCGTTTGAATATACTAACCAACAAAAGCAACCAGCCCCCAAACCACGACAAATCCTTTCATTGTCGACCACGAATGTTGCACTCAAATACAGAAACTTGGAATGCAGTAAAAGGGAACGACGAACTTCTGCAAGAAAGGAAGTGGCGGATCCCCGGTTAGTCTGGTTCCTAGATTACATCAGTACAAAAGTAATAGCTTAAGAGTAGCGTGGTGGAGAACCTGACTGTCTGGTGACTGGTCACATGATTTGTCCAAAGTTTGAAGGGCACATGACCACTGAGCTGGCGTTACAGGGGCGGGGCTTGGACGGAGGAGGGGGTTTGGTTACCATGTGTCAACTCAACTCATGGAAGAAGGAAACAAAATCATATTCCTTCCTCCATGGTGAACTGAACTCTGCTGCAAATGCAAAGCATTTTGGTTTGCTTAAATTTTTTTTAGGATTTTTCAATGAGATCCAATTTCCATCGCGGGACCCCACACACCTGACGACCAATGCCAATGGCTGCTACTTAAAAATATGGTCAATACTGTAAGAGCTCGCTGCTGCTTTTTGATAAAAAAAATATAAACACTGAAAATGGTTTGACCTGGACCCCCACACAGTATGCAGGCATAATAATAAAGTGTAGGCCTCGCACTCAATACGTGTATAAACTATTACGTGCATGGCCCGCACATTTGCTCTGCCGGGCCGTTCATGCATGATCAGTCATGCGGCTCGTTAACTGATTCCGCGCGATCAACTGGTGGTATGGTAGCGATCTCTGGTGATGGTTAAAACCATTTACAAGTCACAAAATAGCCGAAAATGGTGGAGTAGGACTTCGGTATACATTTATAATTCATTCATAGTGTTGCATGGGGGTCTTTCTTCATCGTGATTGACCAACAGGACAGATGAAGAGTTTCAGAAGTCCGACGGAATGACGATATTTATGGAGTCCTGGGACGAATTTAGCAGGACCGTAACGCGCGCTCTACTATACTCCGTGCTGTACCGTCTGTTGATACAACTTTACCGTACAAAATGTGTGCAGTCACGCCCACACTAGCAACTCACGGAGTACATCAGACTGCCCAACCCCATTCGAGGAAATCCAAGTGTTAAGGTGGCTAAAAACACGCCGTCGTTCAAGCACTTTTCTGCCTGAAATCGTCAAATTTAGGAGTTGACAATATGGAAAGTAGCAGTGTGGTAAGTTTGAATGTCCAATTTTAAGTAATGGGAATGACCTCCGTGTTTTGCTAAATACATACATAGCCCTACATGTACATGTACGTAGTAACGACAGCAGTTCAAGTCATCAACATTTTATATGCGTAAGGTGGCACAGTCGTTTATGTAACCTTTTCCATTTTGGTGCTAATTTCATGTACCAGATTGTAATGAAATTACAATTTATTTTAAAATAAAAAATAGGTTTTTAATGTTCACTTTATGATGATGACTAGGCCTATACTAGGGCCTCCATGTATGTAGGTCGTATGCATGTCTTTTGTGACCAGTTATATCCTTCCTGAAAACCAATCATGTTGCAGAAGAAATTTAAACTTTGTGTAAAATCTTATAAAATACCCCAGCTGGCATTGGCACTGTTGTTTTATTTCAGAGGGATGATTCAACTTTGATTCAAAAAAGTAAAGAAACACGATTTCCTTTATTGTAGGAAGATGTGTATTTGTGTGTTTTCCTTTTAAACCGAACTGGAAAGTTAAACTCACGAAAGATTAAATTAGTGACTGACATCAAAGAAGGCTTTTTAACTGCACAGAGAATGGATTTAGGGAAGATAAGTTTAATATTCTTACCACACATACATAACAACAACTATTTCCCTGTCTATGGAGGTACATTTTACATGTAGCTCATACTTAAGTTACAGAGTATTTCCATGTTGCCAAGCACCTTTTGATTTAGACTAAATGATGCATCTGCTGGAAAAATTGATATTCAACCTTTTTTTTCACACAAAAATGCATATACATGTACATACATGTACATGTGTGCAATGTATGTGTTTTGCAGGTTAATGTGCAAATTATAGCCATTCACAAGAAATTCAACTTCAAAATCTTTTTGGTTTTAAATGGAAAAGTAGTCTAATATGTGGCGAGCATTATCGTGATTTGGTCCAGCTTAATGTGTTACTGGAATCCTGCATGTATTACTAATACAAACCCCACTATACCCAGCAAGAAATGAGACCAAGGGGTACCCCCTCATGTCCAATCCCTATACACATTCCAGACTATTGTTATTTAACACATCCCCCCCCCAGATGTCTGAAAGGAATTCCCCAGATTCCTGCGAGACAATGACCAACACAAAGCATGGGGAGTGCTCTCCGTCTCATACCCCACACTTCCAGTATTACAGTAACTGCTGTTTAATCTTTACAACTGCAAACCATGGGCAGTGGCATATCCTGCAGCAACGCTGGTGTATAGCAGTTTCACCTGAGCAGTTGTGGACAATATCTGGGAGTTCTTTATCCCCTTGGTGCCCAGGACTGTTCATTGTTGGTATTACAGGCCTTGTCTGATATCCTTAGAATCTAAATGGAAATGGCCAGAATGAAGGCTTGTCTGTGAAGTATTGTGTATTCACTGTATCACTGTATATAGTGAGAGTGCACAAATACTTCAGTTTTATGTCTTCCATAGGCATAGGTGCCCATTACACCTAATATAAATGCATACATGTATGTACAGTACCTACAATGGTCCTAACATGTAAACAGCATAGACACCAGTGCATATTTAAGGTGTTTACATTGCACCTGTAGTATTGATATTTGAGCAGAGACTGTAAGAGCGGAGGATAAACAAGTTTTGGTTTGTTTGGTAAGATCATTGACATTTGTCAACCACTCCACATTCCCCATTTCTTGAATCATGTTCCTGGTCCCCTCCCTGCCTCCACAACTCCCTCATGTCAACTTCTCTAAGCATCCTAAATGATGGCATAAACAGTTTTTTAAATCCTATTTACTTCCACTCTAGATGATAATTATTGGTGCCTGCTTAGCTATTGGCGGCAATCTACTCATCAGTGTGTCTATGAATATTCAGGTGAGGACAAGAAACAGAGTGTTTAGCATTCATATACATGATGGATAGTATTCCAACAATTACATTTGGATATACATGTAGCGTGTACACTAAAACATTTTGGGCATGATTTTCATGTTTGAGTGTTGCTGTTTGAACAAAACATTCAAATATGAAATGGTATTTTTAAGCAGATGTTTGACATTTAGCATTTTCCGTGAGTAAAACTCATTTTTATCCCCACCATTATTGTCATCATATTGAATCATTCAAGAATGATATCATCAAATCATTTGAACAACTTTATAAAAAGCAACAAAAGGACACTTTAAAAAGTCATGTTGATGATAGAAGCAGGTGTATGAAGAATACAAATGATGGTTGAGTTTTAACAGATGGTACGGTGTTGTCATGCGTGCGTTTGTGTCCATTGTTCCAGTAACTACTGGTACATGTATGTGTGCAATATATAAACCTGTATAAAGATACTGCTTACTGGTACTCTGAGTATAATGAAGCATTGAGATCACGACAACATTACTAGTGCAGTGTTCTGTTACAAAGAATCCATGCTTATTGATTTCCGTTATGAATAAGTTCATTGTTCAATCATGTAAATGAAAGTGGAGAGTTGAGTGTGAAAAATGTCTTTACAAATTTATTGTTTGTGAAAATGCATTGAATCTCTGGACTTAATTGTGCAAAAAAATCATGAGAAACAGAGATTTCCAGTGAAAACAAGGGTAAATGATGTTCATGTGTATTGCTGTTGCATATTCCTTGAATTAATAGCATTTACTACATTGTACATGTACATGCAGTCTCCTTTGTTTCTTCTTTGACTTGAGAACTCAGAGCTTGAAGTTCATTTGTTGGTCATAAAATTTCATCTCTCCGAGTTCAGGCAGTCTTTCTTTTAAGCTTGTAATAAAAAATAAAATGCTGGCACCATCTTTCAAGCAAAACTGTCTAGAACAACCATCTACACCATCTACATGAATATGTAGAAATTACTGGTACAACCATGTACAGTAGACAGACTTGCCATTCCAGTGTCCTACATGTATACATGTACAAGCCTTCCCGGTTGATTAGTCATGCAGTGGTTCACACAGTATTGTCTTACTCCATTTATGATCTAACTCTCTTTGACCTTGCCATTTCAAATTCAGCCTCTTGGACTTGGGAATCTTTGTCTCAAACTTTCCATACAAGTTTGAAATCGAGAAAGCGACTAAAAATCAATTGGTCATGCATTGATGGCAAAATGTCTGAGTTTTGAACCCCTTAAAATAGCCAATAGAAATACATGTAGCTAAATGTCATAACAATGAAGCACTTTGCCAAGTGGGAGCCTTTACTATAGAGTTGAGAGTTGAAATCACTTTGAACTCTTCATTAAACTGAGGAGACTGCTATGGGTGCCTTAAAGAGGCATCACATTTTACTCCTTCCATCTCTGATAGTTTTGTTGTGGAAACACTATTAGACAATACATAGCAAAGCTACATGGCATGGTGTTCTATGAAGTCAATACATCCTGCCACTCACCCAATTTTGGACGACTGGCAAGGCAGGTTCTTCTCTCCACTTTTTCACACTGATCACATTTTATTACTCCCATATTCAGAAATATGCTCTAACAAGACTGGAGAACCAAGGCTTTCATGCAGAGACAAGTCACGATTACCTCAAAAGCAGGTTATGGTGGCTTGGTATCATCATGATGGTTTGTGGGGAAGTTGGTAACTTCATGGCCTATGGCTTTGGCCCTGCAACTGTAGTTGCTCCGCTGGGCACAACGACAGTAGTAGGTAAGTATGAGCTGGAAGCATTGCTGATGTCTACATCTGTTTTCTATTATCTATATTTGGGGTGCACTATGTCCCCATAAAACGTGACCTTGAAAAAGAGGTCTTTGAATCCCTTTTGACATTATTAGACTGAGAGGAAATGAGGGATATTGCAAGCACTCTGCCCTCCCTCCTTGGTCATTTAACAGAACTTAATTAATTGTTTAATCTTTTATTCTTGCAGCAAATGCATACATTGCAATCGTCTTCTTAGGAGAAAAGCTCAGAGCTCGGGATGTTCTGGGTAAGTTTTTTAGTTAAAAGTAAATGCAAAACTTCATAATCTGATTCTGTTTCCGTAAATTATGTAACTGCCAGTCGGCCAGGAGACTTCTGTCTGAACTTGTCAAAAATACCAACAAAATTACTTACATTGACTGTGGTTTGACATTTTACTTGATATCTGTTGCAGGGACATATCTTATCATCGTAGGTGCTTTTCTCATAGTGGTGTTTTCAACACAGGTAAGATGGCCCATTCTGCGAAATTCAAACCTAAGGCCAGAGTTTTACCGGTACATGTTAAATTAAAAACATCTGTTCTTCAGTACATGTTACCAAATTTGATACATCCCTTATCAATAATATTAATGTTACCATCAAAATAAATGCAACTTGAAACTTACTTCTTGGAACATGCAGAAAAGTTGTTTTGAATAGCCAACTAGAAAGAGAAAAAAAGGAAAAATGCTTGTGTGTTGATTATATGTCTATAAATTCTTCATAATTTTGTGACTTATGAATCAATATTTTTCTGTTTTTACTTATCAGAGTAACACCAGATTATCAGCTTTGCAGATCAGTGAACATCTACTAAAGCCAGCATTTCTAGTTTATTTGGTGAGGAGAATGTGACATACTGATGTATGTCGAGAGAAATTTATTAGTATTAAGAGCATTTAATATCTCTCAATTTTTAACTTTGGCCAGGGGATGGCTTGATTTTGAGTTGGGAAAAAGTTGCCTTTTCAGCCAACCATCTTCTAAAATGTAGATCCTTCATTATCTGCTTCCAATTCAAAGCTGACATAAGCAAGAATGATACAAAATTGCTTACTATAATACAACAGTTAAATTGAAAGAAAATTCAGCAGTGTTACTGGGAATTTCACTTGTCTTGCTTGCAAGTGTCAACACTAAGTATTGTACCTTTCATTGTAAATGAGATTTGATGCTTTATATATGAAATATCTGTAAATAACCAAACTTAAGTCTCTAAAACATGAAAATTAACACAGCTTTGTGCAAACATGACACTTACTTACCTGCAGATCAAAGACGATTTTTTCTTATTTTCATTTCTTTCAGGGAGTAGAAGTTATTGTTTTTATCGCTGTGAATGTAGTCATTCATTACTATGGGGCTCTTCATGTGATTTTATTCATTCTACCTGCAGCTATTCTTGGTAAGAAATTCAAACTTAAACAAAATTCTGTTATGTTTAACTGCAGTACTACTGTAATGCACTTGAGGTAAACAACATCTTGCAACTACATGTAGAAGGATTGATCCTTCGTCTTATTGAAAAAGATGCTCCTTTCTGAGGGATTGAAAGTCTTCCACCTGATTCTGAGATCGAAAGGATTAAAAAAGTGTTCCTTCTGATTTATTCTTTTTAGATTCATGTAAAGTTGCTGTTCAAGTTACTGTCAGTTTGCAAGAACAATCTGTAAAGAAGTCAGTTTTGTTTCTTTAGCTACCAGTAGTCTTCAAAATCTCCTTTTTCCTTTCTGCCTAAGTCTGCATGCCTAATATGCAGTCCTGTAATAAAGTCACTATGATTGCCATTAAGTATAATATATGTATTGTTTTTTTATAATCTATTTATAATTTTGTTGGCAGCTTCTCTGACAGTGATCAGTTCCAAGGCTGTCTCAGGCATGATAACTATGACTGCTGCCGGTGAAAGCCAGCTCATGTATGCTGTCTTCTACATTATGATCGTAGTCATCCTAGTCACAGGTGTAATACAAATAAGGTATGTCATACCAGAATTATTCTAGAATTGGCCAGTTCTTAAAATGGTGGTTTATTCATCACGCCTGAAACAATTCATGGTTCATGTTATTCTTCTACACAGACATCACAAAGTACAATCTTTGAACAATTTTGTATGTATCCTTTTTAGGAAATAACTTGATAAGTTATATCCTAATGAAGGTACACGTACATTACTGACACCCGGCATCTCATTGCTGATTTAGTGCAAGGACATCCATGGCCTGCTGTTTGTTGTGTCAGACTAGTCTTGCAATTAAATGTGATCCTAATTAGAATTCCAGATTGAAGGCTTTTATTGATGTGACTGTAGCAAATTGGTCCTTGAATAGTGCAATCAATTCACTTCACTGCTGTGACATTTGAAAGTGATGTAACCCTTAATGTAATTTTGCAATTAATGTCTTGTTAGAGCAGCTGAGGCAAAGGCAGGTGGTTATTAAATCACCTGGATACCAGATGAAGTTTCAGGAATTGTATTTGGTGAAGAGTGGGAATACGATGTAGTCACATTGACAGCAGTTTGAGCAAGGACATGTAGAAATTAGTTTGATCCATGGCCATGTTGGATGTTTATTTATTACAAAAAATCAGACACACATTTTCTGTAACTCAATGTTGTCTCTGCTAATGCATGCTGCACAGTGCCAATTTTGTCCCATTTTGTGAGGAAAATGTGAAGGCTTTGCTTCAAAGAGCACAACACATCCAGATGTGCTTGTCTTGTTAACTTCTGTGAAATAATTGGGATTGAATTGCAGACTGACAAGCTCATTAGCCTTTCTCTTGACCTCACTCCCGATCCTCACAAAGGTCAATCCATTTCTTGTTTTTACAGGGCAAAATATAAATAGTTTAAATGCGGTAATAATACATGTGGCAGTCAACTTACAGCTTATGAAGTTTCACTCCCATACAAATCCACCGAATGGTGAATTTTCAATGAACATTTTTTTCACGTGTATGCAAATACAAATTTAAGTATGAGTCAGAAACTCCCCACATTACAAATCTGATTATTCAGCTTCTCTGAATCTGAGCAGCTTCTGCATAATTACATGTTTACGCTAAGCTGTCAAAGCCTCATAGCAGGAAACACTAAGCAGTAATTGATTAAATAGCAGGATTAAAGTCATTGAATGTTTGACTAAATGATACCAGCCCTGTGGCTAATAGATTACATGGCCTACAGGTTACTCATTAACTCTTATGTAGTTCCTTGCTAATACAGTCGCTGAAATAGTTCAGTTGCTGGTACACATGTGACTGGTCTGAACCTGTGCTCATGTGAGTTATCATACAGCACTCAGCCAGTATTGAATGAAATGTACAGGTCAATTTTCTGAACTCTAAATCCCAGATGAATCTTATAAACTTGATTAAAATTAATGAAATCACAATCAAGTATCAGAACAATCATCTCTTTAAAGAAAAATCATAATCATAGAAATGTGCATTATCATAATAATTCAAATACTTAAGCCAGTAACCCTTTAGTTCTCTGTTGAACTTACCTTTGTGAATTATGCTGTAACTTTATGATGATTAACATATGCTACTTTATTATGATGACCTTCTTTGCATATTTTTTTCCAGATATGTGACGCGAGCTATGCAGGCATTTCAGGCCACTGTAGTTGTACCAACATTCTTTGTATTTTTTACTGTCAGTGCCATATTAGCAGGTAAGCAATAATAAATGGGCATTCCTTTATTCAACATCACAAAATAAATTATACCAAATCCTGACTTTAATTTGAGTAATTATTTGATGAAAGAAGAAATTTACAGATGTAATTTGAGTTTGCAGCCTCCAGAATAACATACCAAATTTCTGAAGCATCAGATGAGCTTTGAAACCTTTTTGTAATGTTACTCATCTTTCTATTTCTTGCTAGGTATTTTTTTCTACGGGGAATTCAACGGTCTTACATTTGTACAAATTGTAATGTTTCTATTTGGGTGAGTTCAACTTTCTGCGTGTACTTCTTGCCAATTTGGAATTCTGCTTTTGTAGTGTTTGGTATGTCCAGCCTTTTGTAGCAAAGTTGATGTTTTACTCTTGTTTGTTGCTGGAGAATGCTTGGCCGTGCAACCATTGAACAAAAACCTTGTAAAAAGAGGATCAGAAGTCTTTATTTCTCTGCTTGTACATGTAGGTGCTTTTGTTCATTCCTGGGAGTGTACTTCATCACTCAGGGACGGACTGGTGAAAACTCACCACCGCTAGACAGCCAATATCAAACAGGACCACCAAAGGCTTTAAGTAAGTGAACAAAATTGGCAGCTTAAGGGCTGAAATTTTTTTTTATGAAATATTCTTAGCTATAAATAAAGCTAACCTCTCAGTTTGACTTCATGTCAGGAAAACTCATAATATTCTGGGTGCAGTAGCTTTAACTTTGAAACAAGTTTCACAAACCATCAAAGAGTTTCGATGGTTTTAGGATTATTTATGGGCCTTAGAGCAGGAATGATAAATTAATGGTATTCCTAGGGCAACACTGCTCGTGGATATGTCAACTTCATTAACACAGGTACACTCTATGTGTTATTTTATTAGTATTATCAAAAGACTATCCAGAATCTACAATCAGTGACTTAAACCTTCAATGATAGCACTCCTGTGTTTTACAAACGTTGACTTAGAAATTCATTATGAGAAAACTAGGCTTTCCTGTTTAATTGCTTTGTCTTTGTTGTCCATAGTGCCAATATGTCCCTTCCCATGCACCAATCATCTCGTTCAACCATCAGATGATGACGACGATGATAATCCCAGAGAGGTGGAGATGAAATCCTTAGTGGAAGGAGATGAAACTGACACCTCCAAGCTGGTAAGTGTCTCAGCAGACTCAGTGACGGGATCCTTGAGTAACAAGTGTTAGTGAAACAGGTGTTAGTGAGAGTTGAGAAGAGGAATAGTTACTCAGCATGTTCTCCAACCCTTTGTTTTATCAGTAGCAAAGATCAGCTTGACAATTCATCAATATCTCTGAGTTCACTGACAGTCAATCACAGGGCCAATCAATTCAGGTGGCTTTTTATCATTTCTTCCTGTTTATCCTTCAGCAGAAATGGGTTCTTTGGGTCAACAGTTCTTGATTCTATAAATATTAACAGAATTGTTTCTGTTTTATGTTTTCTTTCTCAAGATAATGTCCAATGGTACGGGAAAGTCACTCTTCAATCCTTCTCTACAGATGACCAGTCTGGACACAAAGACAAAAACATCACTACATATGTCTGATTTCACAAAAGACTCAGAAAAGCGAGGGACATCCACCAAAGATGACACAACATGACTGATGTCTACAGATGTCTGATTTCACAAAAGACTCAGAAAAGCGAGGGACATCCACCAAAGATGACACAACATGACTGATGTCTACAGATGTCTGATTTCACAAAAGACTCAGAAAAGCCAGGGACATCCACCAAAGATGACACAACATGACTGATGTCTACAGATGTCTGATTTCACAAAAGACTCAGAAAAGCCAGGGACATCCACCAAAGATGACACAACATGACCTGATCAGTGATATCCTGATTCTGAGAGCTTGTACGTTCCATTTGTCTGGCAAAGTCACCTGAATTCAATTTGCACTTTTATGTGAACGGAAAGGTCCGCGTACATGTACCGAACAATGCCATGGTGTACTCAATAGAGGCCTTGCTTGGTAGCCATTTTGCTTGGCACGTCTTGTGTGCCACAGGGAAACCTCCTTTGTGCATACCCTTTTGTTCAAAACGTTGGCCTCCAAGATGGCATCTATGCAAACCCTCTATAGCAGCAGTTTACTGCCTCACCATTCATTGGGGTCTCTCTTAATAATTGACTTGCAGGAAACCAGATGGCACTAGTCGGTCTTTATCAAATGTGTAATCTATGACCATTTATACTGTTTTCAGTGGCAACTGATACACTGTGTATGGTCACATTGGTTGAAAAGAGTAATGTTGGTGAGGAATGACTGCAATGCTTGTGGTTCATATATATCCATGAATATCCAACGGTTTGTCAACCATTGGATATTCAGGTCCCACCAAAGGAGCCTCTCTTGCTTGGGACATTGTGCCCTATCTTGGTCCAGCTCGGGGGCCATAGGCCAGACAGAATAGGTGTTAGAAAGTTTATACAAGTAACCATTGGCCCAAGTGCATATGAAAATGTGATTGGAGAGTCAGAAAGCCATGCTTTGAAACCAGAGAGTCCTGGATGTAAATCTGAAGGCTACATTTTGTTAGTATATGTTTTAGATCATTATCTGGTCCAAAATCATTCATATAAATACAAGTAACTGTATTTTCTAACTCCGCGTCTCCCTGTTAACATGGGTACTTGGTAATTTAATCAAGTATAAAATATGTGTATATATAGATTTTCTAATCTCGGTCATATTCATCAGTATAAATATTTTTTCACTAAAAACAGTTGGTATTATATTAGAGGCCTCTTGATCTAAATTAAACTTGACATTCATAAGGGAAAAGCCATGGAATCATGAATATGATTAAAAGCTGATTGTATTTTTCAGAAAAATGTTACACCTTGAAAAGTCATCTTTTGTTTTCTTGTAGTATCACAGGGCTTTTACTTCGAGCAACCATCAAACTATATGAACTCATCTCTCTTGATAACATGTTGAAGTGTTAGTTCAGCTTTTTTCATTGCTGAGCACAAGCTTATATTTTTTATAAATGAAATTTTTTGCCATCAGGGTATTTAACGTGGAAACCTTTATTTTCCGGTTTTTAGACTATGCTAGCTTGTGAAAGAAGTTCCGTAGTTTAGTGTTTGGCAATAATATATTGTCTATTGTCTACACTTTTAACAATAGCATCATCATACATTTCTGTGCAATGTTGGACTGGCCACTGCCTTCAACGAAAGAGACAAGAAGTTCTTAATGTAGCAAACTCTTGAGGTTAAGCGTTTTTCTACCATCTTTCTTGAGCTCAGTGTGAGGTATTAATTTATGGCACGTTGTCCATGGGTTACGAAGTTTTTTTTAACTTGAGTCACCGTAAACATGCAAGTTGTTTATAAAAATTATAAAGAGATGATTAGTGAATGAATTTAAGGACAAGGTAAGAAATCCAGTTGCATGCAAACATGTACACTGTGTGATACATGAAATAATGTTCAGAATGCCGAGTTAAGCTTTTGACATGCATCGCTGCAGCTCTTTTATTTGTGGTCTTGAATATTTTTATCTGACGTGTGATCTATCTATTACTGGTTTTATGATATCAAGGTGCTGTACTGTAGTGCAGATATTACCAAAAAGCCCTCTGAGCGTCCTGCTGGTAATAAACTTGTACTGTTGCTTTGTGTGATGTTATGTTCAATGTTCACATCTCGGACTTCTTTGTTTGCAACTCAAAAGGTGTTTGTTTAGTAAGGAGACACAGGTAGGACTTACAATGGATTACACAGGACTTTGGACATGTATTTGGTTGGCTTATCCTTGACATGTTCTTCTGTAGGGAAGCTACAGACTGGGTTGAGTGTACTGTTCAATAGGCATAACAGAGTTTTTATAGGTGCTTCTATGGCTGTCTTAAATTACAACTTCTGGTTGCAGGTTCTGCATTTATGGAGCAGTAATCAGACAAACTGATTGTCAGAGATTAAAAGTACTGGGGGTTACTGAGGATTTATCTAAACCAAAAACTGCTGTTTTAATATTTAGAACAAATATATTTGTACTAAGGCAAAGGGGGATCATATATTGGTTTCCCCTCCTACACATGAACAACCCTCCATAACCAAAGGAGAATTCTTATGCAATTGTCACTAATCTTCAGTAATACATCCTCCATCATCAGTTGTGAAATTGTGCAAAGATAATTGCACAACTTTAAAAATAAAACTCAAGTAGTTATTAAAGGGTGTTTAGAGGCAAATTTGATAAAATTGTAATTGATCTGTATTTAGAAACATGTACACGTAAAAAATGTCAAATGTGATGGGTGAAATACTTTTGTATTCCTGTAAGAAATGGATATTTTTGAGAAAGAACCCAGTCTCTTCAATTTTTCTTCTAAGATTGTCATGCTCCGAACGCTACACTTTTCATCACAAATTGACTCCCTGATAATAAAACTTTACGTTGCCCCCAAGGCCCTGCCTAGAGATTGGTGGTGTACCCTAATAGCACGACCTGAACTACACAATATCAAAAGGGTATCTACAATCAACCATAATGTTAGAAGACAATAGGGTCCACTGTTACTCAAAGTCTATAGAGTTGGAAAAACACATCTCTTTCCTACAGGAGCCCATCACACAATGATAGTACGAACATGGAATAACTGGAGGCCGATGATGGATGGGTACTCTTTCAACCCAATTTCCCCCACTTAAAGACTTGTGGACCTATCACACAGTTAAAAACTCAAAAGTACGCATAAAAACTTGACTTCACAGAACAATTTAATCTGCGATCTCAATTACACACTTAACCACTCTAGGAGCTAATCTTGGATTCCCAGGCTGATGAACATACTGAGTAAAGTGGCAAAATGCAGAGACAGAATCAGTTACAAGACACACGTGATAACGAGTTTAGCCTTGCGACATCATAGAGCAGTTGACCACAGAATTCAGTAAGATCATCAACTTGGAAAAACATCAAGAAATATAGAGACATTTTTAAATCATTTGCTAACATCGGCAGTCTGAAAACTACCCTAACAGTGCTTTGGTTCAAATTAACATTTCACAAGACTGAAATACTGGCCCAGAAACTGTTAAATTGCACAATTTCCTAGTTTGAGCAACAAGTAGCAGAATTTGTAACAATTATGCATGATTGCCCATACCAATACCAGCAAAATGTTTCTGAAGCTAGATTTTCACAACATCCTACTAACCCTTAATTTTTATTAAGAGAACCACTTTTTGGTTCAATGAGTTGTCAACAAACAAAAACATGAAATCAATATGACAGTTTGACATTCTTAACAAAATGTACAGTCAAGTGAATAGAATTCTATTGAATGAGCCAATTTTATATTTCAACATCACATGCACAACATGTAGTGCATTTTAGGTCATTGAAGAATATCATTATGTATGAATTCAGCAACATCTGTGTGGTCATACATCCACCCTCACAACTAAAAACATTCAAGCTGTTGTGATTTCACATTTTATTCTCAAATGACCTACCTTTTTGAAATACTGAACTTGCTCACTAGAGAACAAGTACTCTGCTCAGCCAAGATCTTTGGAAACATCAATGTCTGCAGTTGGAAGTACAAGTTTGTGAATTCTGAGACTAGAGGAGAGATTACCACATTATTTCTCTTATCTCTCAATGTCAAATGTGTATTCTTTCAGTGACATCTATAGTCTGCCTCCCTCTGCTGCATCACCCTTGTTCTCTTCGGCAGATTTGGAAGTTTCCATAATCGGAACTGGTTCATCAATACCAAGTGCCTTCAGGACATCAGCCAATGGCACATGGTCACCAGGAGAGGACTGCTTGAAATTCAGAAGGACTTCTTTTCCCTCTGTAAAAGTACAAAAATCAATCAACTTGGACTGCAGAAAATGTCTTTGTTCTAGTCTCAGGGCAAGGCTTCATATTAGTCCCTACATCCACATACTACTTGGGTTTTAATTAAGTGAAATTTTTGTCCCTTTATGCAATAGTTCCTAACAATGTCAAGTTGCTCACCCTTACTGACAATGAGAGTTCCTCCTGTCCCTAAACCATCTCCTTTCATGTTGCCTGTGATGCCGGCAGCTTTACTCTGGGAAAATTCAAAGACAAAGTGTTAAGTTTAAACACTCAAGGTGCAGTTAAGGATACTGGTACTTTAAGTTTTTATGGTGTGTCTCAAATTTGGAATACCTAATCAGAGATAAGGGATCTCTAAAATAGAGTTTTTTGTAATAAATGTTTAAAATCAAAAGAATTGTTATAAAGCATGTATTCATATCTTACCTTTGCTAGAGCTTCTCTTGCCTTCTTGCTGAATACGGCAGCCAAAATATTCCAATATGAAAATCGCTTGTACCCAATATCAGCATAAGTCTGCTTCTTAAGATCAACATACAATTCTGAAAAAAGACAACAGTCGATACATTATCCCAACCATGCCAAATACAAAACCATTCTATGTGACTCACACAGCAAATGTTGGCTTAATGCCGTTGTTTACTTTGGATTAATTAACAAAAGGATCATTAGCAAATGATATGTAAACTACACAGAGTCGGATAATTGGAGCTTTTGAAGCAGTTCATTTTAGGCTGAAATGAGCTACTATGAAGGTATTCATACCACTTGCACAATTTCTACTTCTCTTGCAGAATTACGATGGGTAATGTTTACATTCATCTTACATTCATCCTTCACTGAATGGTGCAAATAGTAAGTTAATGGTGGACTTGATCTCCTTGCCTTTGTAAATGTACATGTAAGATAACGACACTCAACTTGCTACTTTCCCCCAAGCAGGATTTTTTCACATCTTGAAACATTCGAGAAAGAACAAGAACACTTCTGTTTAACAACTCTTGACAAACCTTTTCTCCTTCCCTATATACTGGCAACTCACTTACCTCCATCCCAATATTTCCCTTCTACAAATTCCTCAAGGCCAAACTCCTCAAGTCCAACACCAACAAGGCGGATGTTGTGTGCATCTAGCTGGGGCTTGAGTAAGCTCAACTCTTTAGCACCCAGCCTGCACAAAGGTCATCCAAACCGACGCATGAAATGGATAACACAGGTCTGTGTCTTCCAAAATGAGCCCACAGTAACCATCTGTAACAAATTTGGATAACAGTCATTTCTTATCTAGGATTAATGGTAAGGTCAAAGGGCTCTAGATTTATGACACAGACCGACCTTCCGTGAACAGATGTTGGATGAAAGTTTGAATATGCATAAGGCAATTTTATAATTCTTTCAGATTTTACTTTTCAATGGTGGGGGGGGGGATTTTTAAGTCTCGCAATCTGTCACCACTACACAGCACAGTACATGTCGCATGTCCCCGCCTATGGGTGTTTCCAGGTCACAGCAGCAGTCAGGATGAAAATGGTCAAACCAAGATGCGGAGCAAGTGCGGTCATTGGTAGGCTCGACGCATTTGTGTGGTCTGATAAGCACGAACGGCATGAACGGAGTGACAGTCAAAGGATGGAAGCAAGAAATTGCAGAGCAAAAATCTCATTTCTTTTCAAAAACTGTATCATCCCGCTTATTAGGAGGTATAGATTAATTAGGTTTGCTAACAGGGGAAAATTTGATTTAAAAATAGCTCTTTTACACTTGTGAGCCATTTCACTACAAAAATTTGATTCGAAAAACCCATAGCATTACGACACCATGTAAACCTTGTCTTGTCTAAGTCACACAGAGTTTGCTGAAGTAGTGACTTAGAATTCTCAAAGTAGACTCTACCAACATGATAAATTGCCTTTGTTATCATTTGGACATGGTCAGGCGATAGTCAAAATGTTTTAAAAACGTCATACGTATATCACAAATAGGCCAAGTTACTTTTTACATGGAGGTAGGAAGAGACGACCTCCATGCTTTTTAGCATAAATTACATTCAAGTTGCAGGTTGCACTGAGGTCAGGTGGTTGCACTTGTAACCATGGTGCTACTTCTACTTACCGCCAGAACTGTTGGGTCAGAGGAGCGGACGTCGGACCCCACAGTTCCGGGGGTAAGTACTAGTCACTACTGCAGCACTGGTAGGGCCTATATAACTTTGTGTCCTTCCTCCATGCCATGGTTTTATTCCACCTCCATGAATAAACTAAGCACAGGCCTAAACATGTCCAAACTCACCTCGCCACTAGCCGCACTCTTGACAAGATTGCCGGCAATTTTAGAGAGAAACCCGGCGTTCTCCATCACGAGTAACTATAAAAACGGCCACTAGGGCCGTTCTCGTGCACAATCCGTAATACGATACGTTACGTTAGAGATGCCCTCTGCCGCTGCTGATATACGAAATAACTCGGGTCTTCTTGCACGTCTTGTATGTACAGTACATGTAAATGCACTAAATTTGCATTATATAACAGAGTCAGAAGTCCAGACACCCATTCGGCTTTTGGGCATAAGTTCACAGCATGGAGTTATCGATACCAGACTGCTCGTCTTGTGACCGCGTGAAGTACGCGCCTGCACCCCAATCGGAAGATTTCATCACACGGGGCGGGGGGGCATCGTCACCCTGACAATGGCATGTTACCTAATACATGTAAATGAATGAGTTTAACTTAACTGTTTTTTATTCTCCCATGATGGGTCTAAGACCAGGCATGTTTGTTTTCTGGAATTGTAAAATAGAACCTCTCGGTCGGATAAAATTGCAATATTAGACACAATATTGTGACGCCGCGCCCCTCCGACGAAGGCGAGGGCGCCCTCCTCCTCGAGGCGCGGCGCGTCGAACGGCACGCCGGAGGCCCT